CTACAATGAAAACATGACGACTTATAGATTCAGTGACCTAAGTCTACATCAGAAACATAACACTCTGTCCTTGTCTTGTGATTTTCTCTGTGATTTGTAAATCTCAATATTTGCAGTATCTGGCTTTTGTTTAATACAGTGACCAACTCTTTTTTTTACTTAGCATAACCTTGAAATTCAAACTTAGCCATAAACAAGTACAGTAAGACATTTTCTCTGTTGCCAAATTCCTCTCCTGACATCCTAATATAAGGGGGAGACATTTTAAAAATATTAAATAGAAACATAGTTCAAGAAATAAATGCTAATAGGTAATTAGCTAATGTTAATTGGCAACTATTTGATGAGTATAGATGAAATATGAGGGAGACCCCCAAAAATGGAATTTATTTATTTAAAAATTGAGTATTTATTCTTACATGTTTAAACTTCAGTCACCTACAAAGTCCTCTGCATTTAATGTAATACACCTATCAAGATGCTTTTTCTACTGCTCAAAACTGTTTCTGAATTCATCAATTGTGATGCCTTTTAGTGCTTCTGCCGTCTTTTGTTTCATCTCTTCCTCATCAGCAAAACATTTTCCTTCGAGGACTTTGTTCATCCGGGGAAACAACAAAAAAAAAGTTGCTCAGGGGGTGATCAGGTGAATAAGGAGTGTGAAGCAGGAGGATTATGCTGTCATAAACTGTTTAATACTCAGCACGGTGTGGGCAGGTGCTCTTGTATATCACCCATGGCAAATACATTGAAAGAATCTCCAAAAAAAGAAAATAATTCACTGAAGATGAATGCAGTCTCTCATAACAACGCTAGCTGGTACACTGATACTGATGGGTTCCTAGAACACTCACCTAGTGAGGGAAGTCTGTATACAAGGGGCCTTTCCTCCAAAAGATACTTTCAGGTTTTATTGGGTCCTCCTCTCATAAATGCTATTCACTAGCTCACGCCCAGGAAACATGCCCACTATTCTGGGAAAATAAGACATTGTTATTTCCTTTAGAGGAAATGGAAGCTTATGCAGACTGTCCTCCAGGAGCCCTGGTCCACTCTCTTCCTGTCCCACTTTCCATTACCGCCTTGCAGGATGTAGACTAATCTCACCAAAATGAATGGATCATCAAATGAATCTCTAGCCTACAATGAGCTTATTCTTTCCTTCCATAGATTGTTCCATAGCAAGTGGTGGGTACGTACAGAAAACCCCCTAACCTGTATCTGACTAAGTCTTGGTTTCAGTTATTAGCTTAAGAATTGCTGTGCTCAGGGAGTCTAGAAGCTTATAATTGGGGTCAATAACCACTTGACCAAACTGATCCCAAAGACTAGACACTTTTCTTGTTTTTGCTTGTTCACAGCCATAATAGTAACACCCAGGCACTTGTTGCATTGACTGATCTGGCTGACTGTTCTGCCATTTGTTGTGGTTATCTTTGGGTATGGGTGACCAATGAAATCTTAGTTGTATGTGTGCATGTATGTGTGTATGTTCAGGATTTCCTTTTTTATTATTATTATTTATTTTTTTACTTTTCGAGTTGGAGTCTCACTCCATCGCCAGACTGGAGTGCAGTGGCACACTCACAACCACCCCAGTGTCAACCTTCAGCAATCCTGCCTCGGCCTTCCAAATAGCCAGAATTACAGGTGCATGCTACCACACCCGGCTAATTTTTGATTTATTGCAGAGATGAGGTCTCACCAAGTTGCCCGGGCTGGTCTCGAACCCATGGGCTCAGGTAATCCACTCACCTTGGTCTCCCAAAGTGCTGGGATTACAGGCTGAGCCACTGAGCCTCACCAGAATTTCTTTTTTAAATCAAGGAAAGCCTTCCTTGAGCAGGAACGACCCTGAGACCTTAACTATGTGCTGTTCTCTTTTGGAAAGTAAAGGGAGTTGGCCAGTAGAAAGAGTGTGGGCTTTGGAGTTACATAGCACTGGACTCAAGTCTCATTGTGTGTGTGACCCTGGGGGAGGCAACATCTCTGGTCCCAGTTTTCTCTTCTATCCCCAAGGAAAATCCCCTACTTAACAGCATGCATGAGTTGATGTTCTTCTGTAGTTGCTATTATTATTAGTTACAACCACCTTTTATGAAAAACCTCTTTGTGTGGTAGTTCTCCTCTGGTATATGGCCACCCTATATTTTCTTCTCTTTTCTTAAAAAAAAAAATTATATATATAATTTAATAGAGATAAGGTCTTGCTATGTTGCCTATGCTGGTCTCAAACTCCTGGACTCAAGCAGTCCTCTCAAAGTGCTAGAATTACAGGTGTGAGCCACTGTGCTCGGCCCACCCTTCTGTTTTTACTGCTTGGTTTTTCAAGTTCTGAATTGAAACAGCCACTGTCCCTGCTCCAGAGTTCTCACTTTGGTCCTTTCTACACAAGAAGTGAGAGGGAGCCAGACTGGACACCTGAGAAGTGAACCTCCTACTGGCCCGTCTGACTTCCAGTGCCACCCAGTTCTGGCTACAATAAAGAGTGCAGATGTCCTCAATTCCAAAAAGGTCAGAAAAAGAACCAGATGTTTACAGCACATAATGAAAAGTACCTTTGAAGCTTTATCTCCAAATAAAGCTTGTTATTTTATTTAACAAACTTAGGTTATAATTGAAACACTACTCTAATTTTCTAAGCAAAAAAAAAAAAATCTAGTGAGGTTTGGGGGCTGGGAGTTTCATTTTTGTGATAAAATTATAAAATAATACAATATAGAATCCTTCACTTTGCATTTGATTTTCTCAGAATGATCATGAAGAGAGTCAACTAGAGTAAATTTTGCTAATTTTTCCCATGTTTTTCTTAATCCTTTGCTTTTGGAATCATTCTCTTTGGAAGTCCTTCTCATGTCTCATCTGGACATGTTTTCCCTCCTTCACACTTCTGCCTCTGACAGATTCTCATGTGCCAATAGCTTCCTGTGTGATAGGAGCTCTTCTTCAACACCACTTTCATGGACTTCATGAAATCTTGCCTATCTCAAGATTTTCAATTGATCTTATAATCTATTTGCCTCGTATCTGTACTGTACTGCCCAGTATTAGACAAAGAGATGTAAAGCAAAGATGTAGGTCTAATAGCAAGAATACTAATTGATTAGAGATATTTGAGTAGAAAATAATTTTATAATTAGGGAATGGGGAAGGGAATGATGATTTCTGACATCCCATGCAACTCTGAGGATCTGGATGGTCAATATCTGAATATGGAGGTCACTCCTGTGCTCAGTATGCATTTATTGGTTGAATGGAGGCTAATCTCCCTTTGCTTCAGTGTCTGTATCTGTAGAATAAGAATAGCATCATGACATTCAAATCAGCAAGGGTATGGATTTGTCTAACACAACCCAATAAAGACTAGGTTAAAACTCATTGGAGTACTCATGTCATCTAGGACACTGCTGTCCAAAAGAACCTTCTGTAATGATGAAAATGTCCAAAAATATTGTCTCTAACCACAGGTGGCTGTGGAGCACTTGAAATGTGACTTGTGTGACTGAGGAACTGAATTTTGGTTACATTTCATTTCAATTAAGTTAAAATTGACTTTAAATATGCATAAAGCTTGTGGCTACTGTATTGCACTCACAACTCTGTGAAATTCCTTCCATAATGCTATCTCCTGAGAATGGAGGAAGTTTACTGAGATTCCCTCTAGGACCAAAGTAGTGTCCCTGAAACAGAGAGCTTCTTCAAACAGCAAGAGGGTGAAGAGGTTATCTAAGTCATTCATCTGACCCCTTTGGACAACAGTTGAGAGAAGCTCTACTGTTTTGTTCAACAAAGCCACCAATTTGGGGGCCTTTTTTGGTCGGGGTCTCACTCTGTCACCCGGGCTGGAGTGTAGTGGCACGATCACGGCTCACCACAGCCTTGATCCTCCTGGGCCCAGACCATCCTCCAGCTTCAGCCTCCCAAGTAGCTGGGACTAGAGGCACACTACTATACCTGGCAGCCAACTCTTTTATGCAGACAGGGCTATCAGAGCTTTTAATTTTCTGTCCATTCTACACAGTTATGGTCTGGTAATAAAGGGCAATCTTTCCAATCAACTCACTGCTGTCCTTTTGTGCCTAAGACCAACTCTTTGGATAGGCAAATGTCCCAGAAAACACCAGCCCTGTGGTGGCCTGGAGCTAGGCGGAATTTTACTCAGAGTAAAGATATGTTACAAATTAAATGTTGCAGTCAGTATGTAAAGCTGCAATAAATAGAAACTGAGTTACATCAAGGATGGAATTAAACCTTAAGTTTAAACTCCACAGCACTGTAATTAAAACTTAGCCTGTAGCAAATCATTCACTTGAGATTAAAGTAATGTGGGGGAAGCAGAGGTTTGGGCTTACCTTGCTTTCTGCAATTTATAAGTCTGAGCTACCAAAAGCTAACAGCCCTGCCCCCAAATCCAGCTCCCAATTAAAAACACAGTTTGAAAACCTTTAGGAGGCCTGAGGGGCCCCTTTAACAAAAGTCTGCCCCTTCCCCCTGCCTCAGTCTATGAACAAATTAAAAAATATTACCTGGTCCCCTGATGGTCCTCTGAGCTGACACGGTGTTTTCATTAATACATCATTAGAGTAATGACATTGTGCTGGCGTTTTGCTTTCAAAACAGCCTGCATTTCAACCGCCAGGATATAGGCTCGGGGGCTACTAACCATGTTATTCTTGGGAAATATTATTCAGGTCATATAAAGAAAGAAAAAAGGGAAACAAATTGTAATTTATCATTTAAAAAATGCATATTCTTTTTTATCCCATTCAGGATCATTTAAGGCTTGTTCAATATTTTATTTTTGTTTCTTAGTTTCGCAAAGTAAACACTGGGGTTATCTTAACCATGGCCTTAACACTTAGAGCCAGCAGGCGTTTTCATTCCCTGAAAACAGCTCCCTTTCAAAACAATAGGTTTCTCTCATGTTGGAAGTATGTCATTCATGTAAAAGCAGGCTGAGACCCCAAAGTTGAAACTGGTTGTTGTTTTTTTTTTTCTAGACTGTAAACTGTTACCTCATAGACAACAATGGATTTATTCTCGTGTCTGAAGACTACACACAGGTGAGTGAAAATTTTCAGCCAACTCAAAATAAGGAGCTCAGAATGTGCTTGGGTCAGGGGGAGCAAATTATGGTGTTAAAACTTTGAAACAATGATCTATATTTAAGAGGTAATAGCAGGAGATTATAAAACCTTATTTCCATCCCTCTAAGAATGTCACAGCCTACTTCTCAGCAGGCTCCAAAGAGTTTCTACCTCCCACTGGAGAATGGGGGAGTGGGGCAGCACAGAGCCCAGGGTCTGTTCTCTCATAAAATGTTCAATTTATAGAACTCTTAGCCTCTGAGTTGTCTGTGCCACATAAAGAATTTTTGCCTTAAAGGTGAAAGTACTTTAAAGAGTTTGGGCAACTTTAAGAAGATTTTCTCCTATTTCCCCTTTACACACACACACACACACACACACACACACACACACACACACACACACACACCGCTATATCTCTGCATACTTATTGTTTATAATTTTCTTTCTGGTTTTTGCTTTTAAAAAATCAGTTATCAAAATTCAAGGATTAACAACTTGGGCTCTCAACACAGAAAGACAAGGGTCCAGAGGAAGAATATTCTTCATTTGATTGTGTCATGTGCAGCCTAGGAGTAGGAGGGAGAGAGAGAAAGAAATCAAACTATGAAGTCAACTGTAGAAATCTCCACTCTATTTGGAAATCAAACTAAGAGTTAAAGTCAATGGTATTATAATAGAAAAACATAGGGTTTTTAAAATTCAAACTTTCTGCATTGTCTTTTCCTGCAATTAGAGATTATTAGCATATAAAAGAAAGTAAAATACAGACAAGTTTAGTGGTTTGGTATAATAAAACAATCCTGTCAGGGCTGGAAGATGGTTTTGATGTTGGTTCTCTTCCATAACTAGTTCTAGGTCGTCAGCACATTACTTAACCTGTCTGAGCCTCCAGATAGACTCTGTAAAATGCGGATGGTTGACTATGTAAGGTTTCTTTTAACTTTAATACTTGAGGATACTAATATTTTATAATGAAGTCCCTTTTAAACCATTTAAAATTTTCTTTGGTTGTCACCAGTATGGTAAGTCCATTATTGCTTAATCAATTAGTTAATTGGCCTTAAGTGTGGCTTCTTAAGGTCTGAGATTAATGGTTTGATGATTTATAAACAGTGGCTCTAGGAAATTGAGGAATTGCGCTTTCATTTCCCCTCTTATCCATGAAAATGCTGTAGGATTTTAAATGCACCTTTGTTGGGTGAAAAATTACACTATTGAAACTCAACATGCCCATGCATCATCTCCTCTGATGCTGAACATCACTAACATCAGGCAGTTGATGGACATCAGATAGGATGAATGAGCCTGTGGAACAAGGCCAGTCTCTGAGACAGCAGGAAAGCCTTTCGACCTATGGCTATATGCTCATTTGGCTGGGAGGAGAAACACAGGCCTTTGAGAATCTATACAGCAAGAGCCCAAATTCATCGCTGGAAGAAGGGGCTCTGTTCTTCTGGCATATTCATGAAGGGCTGAGCTAGCAGCCTGATCCTGGGGCATAGGAAGGATGTAGTGGATGTCTTCCAGTGGCGATTTTTGGACTAGCCAACTAACTGTTGAAACAACAACTCTGTTTCAACCATGACAGCCATGGCTGCTACAGATTCCTGCTCTGTCTCTCCATGGAACAGGCCAGCAATACACCCAGTGAGCCTGCCAACCTGCTCAGTCTGGGCTTGTTTGATGTTGTCTGGCTTCCTGCACCCCAATTAGGATAATTCTTCTTCATCTAACAACCAGTTCCACTGACACTGGCATATTTACACACACAAAATACAAATGTCCTTCTTGCTCCTAGCAGCAGCACACACCCACAGAGTTTGTAAAAGTTCCCAAGTCTTCCTGTAGTGAAAAAGGAAGTGCTTACTATTCAGTCAGAGGAATGTTGTTTCCTTCCTCTTTCTCCTCTCTCGCCTGACTTTTTGCCATACACACACACACACACACACACACACACACACACACACACTCCTTGCTGCCTGAAAACTCCCAGGAGTAATGTGGCTGAGATTACTCACTTAGTTGCGATGGAATTGGGGTTTAGTTAATACAAAGTCTAAGAAAGGTATATAACTTGGACTCTTTTTTTTTTTTTTTTTTTTTTGAGTCGGAGTCTCACTCTATTGACCAGGCTGGAGTGCAGTGGCTAATGGCCACCACAGCCTCGATCTGTTGGGCTCCGGTGATCTTCCACCTCAGCCTTCTGAGTAGCTGGAACTACAGACGCGTGCCACCACGGCTAGCTAATTTTTGATTTATTGCAGAGATGAGTTCTCACCAATTTTCTCAGGTTGGTCTCAAACCACTGAGCTCAGGCAAAGCTCTTGCTGCAGCCTCCCAAAGTGCTGAGATTACAGGCATGAGTCATCACGCCTGGCCAATACCCTCCACCTACCCACACAAGAATTCTAAATATTCAGCACACCTGGAGTAGAGATGAGGGCTCTCTATTGGTCTACACTGGCTCATTCCAGGGTGTCAGTAGAGGAAGGCTATAGCTGCAAACTCTGTTCCACTGCACTGCCTACACCCTCCCCAGCAGAAAACCTCACAGGATAGTGGCTCCAGAAGTCCAGAGGGCATGCCTGCGATGTTAATCCTTCACTCCACCACTCAAAATTTGCAAATCTTGGCCAGCACCAAGAATTCAATTCACAAAGCATCAGTCTGGTGGTGAGGAAAGACTGCAAGACCTCAAATGACCTTAAGACAGTCCCAGATGTAGGAATTGGCCGTTAGAACTCTGATTGGCTGGTCTATCGCCTCAAGGGGCTAGATAGTCTTATTCTTGGTCAACATGTTAACTGCTTTCGGACAAAATGAAAGTGATTTTGAGAAAGGACGAATTCTCAACTGCAGGAAATTTATAGGGTCGATTAAGAGGACTGCTATATTTCCCTAAACAGGTCATCCAGGAATTATAAACAATTCTTTTTATTAGTGCTTAGGAAGCCCTTTCACAGCCTGTTTCTGCCTGTATAAAGTAGCATTTTTAATCACAAGGGATTATGTGCAGATTAATACCTACTCCATCCAAGGGAAATGGTGTATGTGCACGCGCATGCGTGTCAGTGCGTGTTTTAATTTTAGCACCTTCCACATGTTATGCAGCCTCCTTCCCATGAATTGGAAGCGTTCACATCTGGTCACTGGTTTGCTCTGTAATCCCATAACTTCTCATGACTGTTAAAACATTTTCCACTTCTATGTAACAGTAGTCCTGAATATCTGCCTTTTGCTCCTGTCAGTTCCAGGACACAGAATGTGTACCCTTTCATTTCTTCTCTCCTGTTTGGGCATATTATTTATCTACATCTCCTCATATGTCTTCCTTTCTTCCCCACAGACTGGAGACTTTTTTGGTGAGGTCGAGGGGGCCGTGATGAACAAATTGCTAACAATGGGCTCCTTCAAAAGGTAAGGATTTTATGATTCCCTGTGTCCCTCGAAAAAGTTTGCCTAAATAAAATAAAACAAACCAAGGTCAAAGAAAGCAAGCCCAGACTTGACCCTGTAGCTGGTTTTCACTTGTGTTCATGCTACAGATTATCTCGCTGAAATTTGATGCCTCTTGCACTAGTGTTAAGAGTCTTACAAACTCTGCTCACAATGAGCTTCCTGTTCATCCAGCACAGTTTATTGGAAGCCAGTATTGAAGTAGGAGTCTACACTGTGATGTGATTATATCAGTCTTAAGCAAGTCACTGTGAAGCAGTAGGAAACGTTTTCACCTGGTCAGAAAGGAGTATATTTTGTCTCCCATTGACAAACTTGGGAAGCTTCCAAGGAATCTGGAAGTCAGGAATGGAAGGTGATATTTAGAAGCTTATTGATATAGTTGCAGAAAATCAAGTAAAACTCCCCCAAACCTGCCCTTGATGGCAGTAAGTTTAAGTTCGTTGCTGGAAGAAACCTAAAGATGGTGCCAAATCCCATAGGTAGCAAGTACTATCAAATGGATGTGAGAACTCTCATTGACCCTGAGTCAAGCTCTCATAGGACAGCTTCCTCACAGCCCCGTGTCTCTCATGGCAGGCCAGCCATGCTCTTAGGAACACCTAAGCCTATGAGAAAAGCCATCACCCCATGAGAACAGAGTGTCAGAATGTCTCCCCGGGAGTCAGTGCTGTCTCCCTTCTCTTGGCCTTCCAAGAAGCACGTTAGCCTTTAAAGTGATGCTTTAATAGGCATATTTGATGTTGTTAAATATATAATGGCAGGAAATCCAAGGATGGACCTCCACTTGCCTGTGAGATCCATTGCACACTGACTGCCAGGGGGTAAGGCAGGCCCCAGTTTATTACTCCCCTGCAGCTGACTGGCTAGGAAGTGTTATCTCAGGAAATCGGACTTTTAAGCCAGTCAACAAGACCAACTGAGCGCTGTGCTGAAAGCAGGGAATGCAAAAATGATGACCTGGTTTTTGAAATTCCATAGCTTGTTTGTGCCAGAAGGGAGGGGAATAAAAGAAATGATATAAAAATTCGGCATACTGCCAGCACTTCTGTAATCTCTGACACACTTGCATGGTCTCAGGCTGGCCTTCAGCAGATTGTTCACTCCTGCTCAATTCCCTTTTAAAAATTCAGGTACACTTCTCTTTTTCACCGGGACTCATTGAAAACCCCACTTGGAGCTTGACTTGGGTTGTTGTGGAGTTTTCCATGACTTCTCAAGCTTCCCACCATAGTTCCTGGTTCGTCTGCCACCCAGGGCACCACTGACTTTTCCTTCTCTATGTAGATGTGTACATTTGTATCGTGTTAACTTGTTTTCAACTTTGTGGGGGGAGGAGACAACAGAGGAAGAATAATCACACACGTGTTTCTCATTTGGAAGCATATTTTTGAACTTCTTTAACAAACCCATTTCTTTTTCCTTTTTTCCCTTGGATAGTTATTTCAAACTGTTTGGTGGGAGAAAAAGAAGGGCTGTAATGGAATTTTAAATTTCTAAATTTCTAGTCTCCTCCGTGATGTGGGGAAAGTATGGTTGTCATGAGTCTAAAACTTTTCTTTTACTACAAGTGTAGTAAGCATATTTGAGAAAAAGGAAGGGCTGAGGACTTTACTCAGTCTTATAGCAACTGCTGTCATTCAAGAGCTAGTTGAAAAACTTCCTGGGCCTCTTCGCTGGGGCCAGTAGAGCAAGGAGAATTTTAGTTTGGGAGTCAGACAGACTGGGATCAGATTTGGGTTTTGGTGTTTACTAGCTGCATGACATAGTAAGTCAAGTTACCTCCTCTCCCAGCTTTGGATTCCTCACGTGGAAAATGAAGGTGATAATGATAGTTACTTCCAGGGGTTGCTGTCAGAGGTATTGAAATAACAGCAAGTATAATGTTCTTAGCACAGAACCTGGCATATATGAAGAGCTTAATAATTGCTCGCTGATGCTGGGATTTGAATTATGGATCTTTACTCAGTCTTGGCTTTGCTTTCTGCTTGGCACCAGGAAGTGCTTTTTGATTCATTCACACCTCTCATGACAGACTTCCCATTATACCTGGTGATGGTTCTCTGGTGTTGGAGTACCACAGTCCTTGAGATTAGCACTTGCTCAGAGCATAAGGTTGACAGTCCTTTCATTCTGAGAAGATCCATATTTCAGAAGTGTTGAAAGAATGTAGCCAGAAGTAATTGACAGCACTCTCAGACAAAAAATTTTGCACCATTTTGAACTGAACCTCATCCCCAAACACAAAGTACATGGAGCCTGAGTTGCTAGATGACATGGTTAGCCCAGGTAAAGTGCAAGATCAGTTCACTGAGATGACCTCTCATCTCGGCATCTTGAATAGTGCCAGGCTGACACAGTTTCTTGATTTAATCAGATTGTACCCAGTCCTAAAGAAATGAGTTTCATACACATGAACTCGAAAAGCCATTTTCTCCAGAAAGCACATCTTTGCGTGTCTCTCTCTCTCTCTCTCTCTCTCGGGAAGTGAAATGGTGCTTGCCTGTGTGACAGTGGATCTTTTTCCTGGTTGTTCGGATCATTCACTTTGTAACCTATTGACCATTCTACCTGGCAGTGCCATTTTAAGGAAAAATCATCCACTTCTGGGCCTGCACTGACAGATGAAAGAAAACCACTGGTTTGTATGAATAGATTAGTGACTTAGGAAGAGTTTTTCAGAGAGTCCTGCAGCAGTGTATGAAACCATCTAAGAGACAAAATTGGTCATTCTAAGTTGCTTTTGTTGAGTCTTTGACCTGACCATCCAGCCAGCTAACATATGACCTTGTATCCAGGGGTCAAATAACAGACCAGCAGCTTCAGCAGTGTGGCAGTAATAACCACGGCAGCCTTCCTGAGCACCCAACACACACCAGGCCTGAGTTGCACTTGGCAGATCTTACCTCTTGCAGGCCTGCTGACAACTCTGTGAGGCAGGCATATATAGAACTAGCTGTATTATTCGCAGGGCCCAGCACAAAATGAAAATATGGGTCCTCTTTTTCAAAAACTGTCGAGAATCTTAAGACACTGGTAGCAGAATGTTTAATCAAACACTGGCCCTTCTAAGTGCTGGACTGTGCAATTACACATGTTGCATGCCCAGGAAGCCAGCCCCGGGTATAAATATACCCATTTATAGCTGGAAATAATGAGACTTGGAAAGGTTGAGGACGTGCCCTAAGCCTCTGCACAGCAGAACTGGATTTGGATATCCTGCATTCTGAAAACAGAGAGAATCGTCTCCCTGCTGCCCTTCACCTGGTTCTGTGTACAGAAGCACTGTGATTGGAACTTCCTTCAAGTAGTTTGAAAGGTGAAGGATCGTTAAAGAAGTTGTAGGCTCAGCAGTGTCTTCTCTGGGCAAGCAGAACTTTCATGATGGGAGGCCAACTGAGTGATAAGATGGCTCAGATTTCTCTCAGCTGAAGATGATAAATTGTTAGACCAAGATGTGATCCCAGGCATCACTTATTTTTCTCATACAATAGCATACACCAGGTCAACTTTTTGCGTTTCAAGCAGAAACTTCAAATACTTCCTCATTCTTATCACTGAAAGGAAGTAGACTCCTTAAGCAGTGACTCATGCAGGGTTTTTCATTTTAGCTGTTCTTCTTTTTCACTCATATTTATGTCTAGCAAAGGCCTTGCATGCCTATTTCTCAAAATCCACATTCTGTTGTTCCCTTTGCTGTCATTGGCAGTAACATTGTCTCTCTTGCCACTGCAGAGAGAAATTCTAGTTTCAAAATCCCGTGTTATAATTCATTTAAGCCCTGGTAATGCAAATTCAATGTTGTCATATATCCAGAAAAAGGGGGTAGAAAAAGTTAGTCATAGGAGAGTGTTCAAGGTTCCTGATTGATAGAGCCTCTGTGATACTCTGGACCTGAAATAAGAAGACTTCAGACTGAACACAAGATCTGTCCTCAGCCTTTCTGTTTTCTTCACCATAATAGGGACCTTGGTTAATTTTTTGAGAATTAACTAAAATACAATATTTGAAAATGTTTTTCAAATTACAAAGCTATTGCAGGTAGCTTAGAGGTAAGATTAGTACTTGAGTAAGTAAGAAAGTCTGAGTTTTTTCAAATGTGTAAGTTCTCTCTCTTTTTTTTTTTCAGTTTTCTCTTGTTTTTGTTGTGTTTGTTTGTTTTATCACTGGTGACTCCCAAAAGCTAGTTAATGCACAACAGTTGCCTCCACAGCACAGCATTGGGATGACCTGTGGACCTGGACTTTACTGTGCATTAGTATCCCCTGGGGACCTTTTAAAACACACCTATGCTTGGGCTGCCCCCAGAGATTCATATTAAATTAGTCTGGAGATGGAGTCCAGGCAGTGGTGCTCTTTAAAAGTTTTTGTGTGGTTCTCGTGTATAGCCAAGACAAGAAACACGAGGTTAAAACTGCCTAGGTACCATTCTTGCTGCTGCACACTTTAGGAGTTGCCTGTCCTCTCTACAGCAAAATAGGACTAAATTATTCATATGTCTGCAAGTAAGGGTTTAATGGAATTATATGTGAGTAACAGAGTTATCCTCAGCTTGAGGGTACACATCTGCTTACAACCTGTCCTCCTGAGCGTGGGTATTCAGCCTCCTGCCTGGACATCTCCCATTGTGACCATAGGGGAAATCTTGCAGGGCACAATCTGCTGGCACAAGTGGATCACATCACAAAATAAGAGCTCTTGAGTGTCCTCTCCGATCTGGGACTGCTACCTTCTTTTTTTTCCTGTCTTCTTCCTCCTCTTTTCAGACTTCCAAGGAAACAATTTTTGAATAGATCCCTACCTAGACAGAAGAGCCTCCAGGCCATCTTTTTGAGGTCTACTTCTTGGATTATCTTCTGGGTCCTACATCCTTACCTTTGGGTGTGGTGAGAGGGGATCTACTTTCATTACCTTGGAGGCCCCTGGGGGACTCCCTAGAATGACCCAATGCTAGAGAAAAA